GGGCTAGGCGTGACGGGCGCGCGAAGCGCGCCCAGAACGGCTAGTTTAAAATACGTTTAGAAGAAGAAATGTGGAAAAATCAAGAGGACAAGTTCAAATCAAATTTCCGTTTGCCGCCATGGATTCCCGCGCTCATTTACACACTCACACAAGCACCCAGCGCCAAACCATGCAGGCTTCACTTTTTCCCCGTGCTTTTAGATCCCACAAAAAAACCCTTGGGAGGGTGCCATTCGGACGGCAATAAACCAGAGAAGTTGACCGTCCCGATTTTACAGACAAACATATATGATATGAGAAATCGGGACGGCAATTAATTCTAGGGTTTGTCTCATGCTGGTAGGCCAGCCATTTTTCTAAAAAATAAATAAATAAAAAAAGGAAAAAATAAAAAACAGGAAAAAATAAAAAAATTGCCGTCATGCCGCGGACGTGTTTGACAAATAACTTTAGCATTGGGTACCATTTCTGTGATGGGTACCTATTGGAATCCGCTTTTGATTTAGCAGAAGTCAAAATATTCACTTATAGTTGATAAAATTGCAGAAGTTGCTCCTTTTCTGTGGCATGACGGCAATTTTTTTTTTTCCTGTTTTTTATTTTTTCCTTTTTTTATTTATTTATTTTTTAGAAAAATGGCTGACCTACCAGCATGAGACAAACCCTAGAATTAATTGCCGTCCCGATTTCTCATATCATATATGTTTGTCTGTAAAATCGGGACGGTCAAGTTCTCTGGTTTATTGCCGTCCGAATGGCACCCTCCCAAGGGTTTTTTTGTGGGATATCACTTTATTTTTCATCAGATATTTTACTTAAATCTACCAGAAAAGTATAACCAATTCTTTCAGAAAATAATAACACCATCCACGATCTCACGGTCTAGATTTCTTAAATTTACCATCACAAAGCGATCCCTGAACTCCTGTGAGTGGCTTCAGTTGGACACGTCAATTATTGCTGCTTTCGTGCGACGCAGGATTGCGTGCAGTCAAATTGAAGGCGTTTTCTCTCTCTTTTTTTCTGTTTGTTTTTGTGTTTATTACGTGTACATCTGACGCCTTCAATATTACGTGATACATCTAATCATACTCTTAACTCTGTATTGTTGCTTGTCTGTCGGTTTTAAGGTTTTTTTCTTTATTGCCGTCCGCGCCTCTATCGACCGCTATAATATTTCTAACTGGCCCCACTTTAAAATCACAAGTGACAGACATTTCTTATTGAGGAATATTAATTTAGTGAAAATAAAATCTCACAAAAAAAATTTTATGACAGATTCAGTCTAAACCACACAATCACCTTTAAACCTACGTACTTTTGTGACCACTTTTCAGGACCTTCCTAAAGTCTTTTGTTACAGTTATAACAACCAGCATAAGTCATGTTAACTGCGAGAAAAAATGCTTCAAATATTTATTAGTTGCATTAATTTTTAAAAAATAATGAAAAACGGCGAATACTACAGACAAAGGAGCTTGTCTGCAGTGAAGCAGTCATTTTGAGTAAGACTCATCTGAAGGCGTTCTAACAATGAAGTAATTAAATGCAAGTGCTCAACTGTGGTCTTAAATTTAAAGTTTATTTGAGCCACAAGTTTAAAAGAATTCTCTGAATTAATTACGCTTCCCTCAAAATATAAAAGCAACACTTTACTCCTACATCTATGATCTCTTTCAAATACATAATGCATTTATCCCACAAGGAATCAGGGAAATAGAGGGAGCTTTTACACAGTGATTTTTTAGGGAAAAGGTACTAAGGTCAGCTAATGGAATGCAAAGGAGCTTAGAAAATTGATGTTTTTAATCAGCCTTTAAGATTTATCGACTCGTATAGGTAGCTATTTGGAAACAACTTTTTGTCAAAGTCTTGATTCTCTTCAAAGAAAATGAAATATGTTGATCTGTATAAAATTCATCTGCAAGAATCGTAGTTGCAATCTAATTTGAGGCATTTTTTTCGATTAGAGAAGTATAATTTTTTTGACTTTAGCCTTTTGAGAGCCTGGTTTAAAGTTGATTTTTGTAAAATCTTCATCCAACTACTAACATAAATCAATGTTCGTCTTCTTTTGAAGGGAACACAGAGGCTGGAGTAATTGAGAATCCCTTATCCTCAATATTCAGGCGATGATTTTATCATTGATCCGCTGTAGATGAATTTGGGAAGAGAATAAAGATTTTCAGCAGAATTATTTTTGCTAATTTACAATTTTGCCTTAAAGAGGCCTGAAACGCCTTTTTGGGTGACATCAAAGACAGCTTGCTAGATACTTAAGACAATTTCTTGGAGGTAAGTTTCCTGTTCTTTTAAATGCAAGACAATTATGCAAGAGTATTGAAGAATGAGTTGATGATAACATTTTAATTCTTGCAATGAATCAATAAAGTGAAAACACAGAATTTCCTATTTTATAGACAATTTAATAATCATTTTATATATTTGATTTATGGATGCATTTAGAAATCCATGTAAGATTTGACTCAGATAACTGTGCATGAGTAACACTGAGATATAAAAAGTAAACAGATTGAAGAAAAAATAGAAAGAGCTACCTACTTACACAGAGACATTTTTTATATAAGATTATTTTCCACATAATTTCCATTTGTCAAAAATGTTAATAAAAGGAAAGAACATTGGCAAGGGAAACAATCATAAGATAGAAAGCGTCGGGAGGGTTCAATTTTTTACCACATCAAAAAGCAGAACAACTGATTACTTACGTAGTGTCATGAAAGGAAGAGCAAAGACTATAAGTATGATGTAACCGTGGAATATATATCAATGACTAAAGTGAAAATAAAATTGTAAATCTGAGTGTTATGTTGTGAATGTCCACTCACATTTTAGTTTTTCAAAAAAGACTAACTAGAGAGAGTCAAGCATAATAGTCACATTCACAAGTGGTGTTTCAGAATCCCATCTCATATTTTATTTTGTACAGGGAAATCAACCAACACCGACTCGAATTTGTTGTAAATTTTCTTTCTTTCATGAAGTTAAGTTCCACAAAATTTCAAGCATAAATAATGTAGAACAGGAGCTGAGATTTTGAAACACTGCATGTAATGTGACGGTTTAGCTTAATTCCATCCAACTATCAGTTTATCTTCAAATTTTTGTTAGATTTTTTTACGCATAAAAAGTTTTAAAGTGACATTTTAGCAGTTTTATTTAAAATTTAGTGTCTAGAATTGACGATTTTTTCCATTCCCTGATAATAACTTATTCCTTTCTAATTTCCTTGGAAATATTCCCTGATGAAAACCAAGGATTTCTAATCATTAATCTCTAACTTTTCTTGAGGGGAAACAAGATTTTCCTCCGGATTTCAAGACGAAAATCAACTTAGCTATATTTAGTCTGGTTTCTCCTTTCAAGTCAAGTTCAGCAGACACCCAGTTTAGAAAAATAGTATGATCTCAGAGCAAAAAGAGAGGAATGTTCCTGCAATGGCCATTCCCAGAGAATTTGCCTAATTTTCCCTGATATATGTTTCATTTCCTGGCGGATTCAAGTATTTTTTGAGTTTTTACAGGTCCTCGAAATCATGCTTTTTTAAAAAAAAAATTGAACATAATTGGAGATCACGTTCTTCGGTTATTGGCTGGATTATCTTACTTTTTTTCCATGACTAAATTGATATTGGTTTTATCATGAGCAGAAAGTATGAATTGACTGATTCTAATGTAGACTATAAATGCTAATTTTTCCATTTCAAGCTAATACATTATTCTGAACAAATAATTGTGTTCCTCGTGATATTTTGACAAGGGAACATATCTTGTGGTACTCTCAGTCATACCCTGTCTGGTGTTCTATTCAGCATAGAACTGAAATTCTGATGATGAAGGAAAAATTAAAATGTGATAAACATGAGAAGAAAAGCTTTAATGAGCTGCTTCCCTTCATCATGAGAGTTACAATCATGGGCTAACTTTAATTTTTGATGACAAAATCACTGGATCTCTATCAGTGTAACTTAAACTCTTGAACATTTTTGATAAAGTAAAAGCATTCACACATGCATTGGAAAGCGTTGGCCTTCTTCTACAAAGCTTTAATAATATCAAAGTATAATTTATTGAGATCAATTTTTTCAAGAGCAAAAAATAGTAGAGTAAATATCAATCCTCAACCAGATCTTTTGTTTTTTCCTTTCCTGGTAGATAATAATTCAGCCAAAGTACTTCTGCTACTGAGGATGTAAGACAATGTTCTACAAAAAGAACCTGTTATTTTGATTAAAAATTTTGGACTGCAGGTTGTCATCGTCCCAGTAGGTTTTCCTAAAAATCTTATAATGGAGCATCCTTTGGCCAGCTTCCTTCATACTCCATGGTCTAGGCCTGAAATTAGAAAAAGAAAAAATTATCAACCTGGAGGAATAAAAAAACACAATTTTAAACATTAATTTTAGAAAGCGTTTTAAAATTTTCAAAAGAAGGAAACTAAATCATGGTATATAATCTGGAAAAATCTCAAACAGGTTTTAGATAAGATAGTAGAATTACTATCCAAAATGTTAGTCATAGTTACTGTCATTAGATAGTCAAAGATGTAAAGGCAGTGCCTAATAAAATGATCAAGCATGTAACGCTGGTGCAACTCTCAACCAACATTGATATCTAGGTTTGCGACGATACAGATTTCCTGTCATACTTACTCAATTTTTAAGAGAAAAACTACTCATCGTCAAATCTTAAAGACTTTCATAATTTTCCTCTTCCGTGTGTTGAAGATCCTGTAATAACTTCCGAGGAATGATGATGATTTGTTCTTTTTCAAAACAATAAATGGGAGCTGGGATTTTAAAATACCAGAAAAATTGATGATTTGAGAGTTTCATTGTCGATAAGCAGCGTATCCACGTAGAAACAGCAAAAGCGTGTACCTTGCTTGCAGTGATTCAAATTCACTACATGTTTTAAAAGGAAACCAAATCAACATCATAGCTTCAACTTTTCATAGAATGTCCTTCACACAGGGAAGAAAAATAGACGGAAGTGTATCAGTGGTGAAACATCTAAGCTAAGAATCTCTATTTGCGATGCAGCACCATTTCTGTTACATTTTACCAACTTTATTGAAGGACCAATTGGACGTATTTCTATCAAACGGAACTATGTGCATCAAGACATGAGCCCTGAGACTCATGAGAATATATGCGTAGCAGGGCTCATGTCATAATGCACATAGTTCCGTTTGACAGAAATGCGTCCAATTATCACTGTCATTGAACAGAATTCTTTATGAGCTCTCTTTGCATTTTTAAAAATGACCTCTGAAAATTTTATAAAAAAATCCCTAATAATAGACTGCTATAATGACTAAGTCATCGCAGTTTCGATGGTTCAATTGTAAACAAACGCATAACCTTGTCGTAGTCGCACTGGGGTGAGAGTGCGTCTGATTTTCTTGTGACCAAATGGATTTATGACTTGTTGATGACACAATTTTAATCAACAACTTGACACACTAATATCACTCAGAATTTAGGTATGAGGTTATCATCCATTGTTTTGGTTTGAACTATTCGCAAGAATGACGTCTAGCCACTAAATCAGTCTATACCTATTCAACTAATAGGAAGTATTTTAGCTAAATGGAACTATATGCAAGTGGAAAGATGGGGTGTGCTCGTTAGTTGAGGGCCATAAGAATGAATGGGGATTTTAAGTGCCAGTGACGTCAGCGGTGACAACTGAGCTGGACAAGCTCGTCGCTTGTTCTTGGGGCTCACTCATGAGCCCTGTCCACAACGCTCTTGTCACATGTCAACGGCTCACAAGTTAGCGCTCAGTTCCTTTTGATTTAATGTCAAATCCCGCTTTTCCATTTTCTCAAAAGGAACTATGTCCACTTTTAAATTGGACGTATTTCTATCAAACGGAACTGTGTGCATGAGGGCATGAGCCCTGATACCCATAAGAATACATGCACAACAGGGCTCACTTTATAATGCACATAGTTCCGTTTGATAGAAATACGTCCAATTGTTTCTTATTCAGCTTCCACGAGCACACCCTATCTTTCCACTTGCACACAGTTCCATTTAGCATAAATACATCTAATAGATAAAGGAAGATAGTAAATTTTGAGAAACATCAGTGGAGCTCCAAGTTATTGTAGTTTCACAATCAGTAGTAAAGAATGATTTAAATACTCATTACCTCGCTCAACGCAACTTTCGAGTAGAAGTAAAGAATTTTCCTATGAATAAATGAGTTTACACCAAGTCACACTTCCTCTTGGGCTGCAAAAATCAAGCGAGGCATACGGAAATGCGTTAACGTTCAATCTGTATCTGAAATATAAAAAATATAATCACTAAAACAGAATACATGATGCAACCATGACTGGGTGTATCTAGTTGTTGTGATGAACCAAATTAGATTGAAAGAGATGCACAAAGAATGTATTTCTGATCTCCTTAATTCCAATTTCAATACATTGGGCTGAATACATTTGGCTATAATCTTCCGATCAACATTTACCGCTGAAGCTGTAGGTATCTTTGCAAACCAGGAACTTCGAAGGTACCCAATAGACAATATCACATGGCAATGATATTTGAATTAATTATAGCGCCCTGAGAATTCATTGAAATTATTGAGGTCAAGTTCACAGAGTCAAACTACATCATCAAAAAGTACAGAGATGAGGCGACTGAGTTACGTCTTGATCAGCCATATTGGAACCCTATGGTCACAATGATTCAATGAAAGTTTTAACTTACAATGACTACATAATGAAAATAGAACAGTTACCGACTGCATGTATTTATACAAAAAGGAACTGTGTGCCCACATGCCCATAGTTTGCACGCAACATACTTCCTTCAGGCACAGATACGTGTAAATGAACATCAGAGGTTATCGCTTTCAGTGAAAAATGTAACCAGATTTGCGCTGAAATTTCAAGCGCTCTCTAAATCTCGAGGACTTACTTTAGTTCCCACAGTTAACTTACCTACAACTGGACGTATTTCTACCAAACAGAACTATGTGCATTGACACATAGGCCTCAAAACTCATAAGAATATATGCATAGCATAACAGGGCTCATGTCATAATGCAAATAGTTCTGTTTGGCAGAAATACATTCAGCTGGGCATGCTTACTCTAGGTATGCTCAATGGTTTTAAAATCGGCTTATCCGTATAGCCAATGAATGCATTTAAAGAAGTGTTACGTAGGAAAAGCTAGAACCACCACAACCACAGTGCCATCAATATAGAGCAAACATCATTTTCTACGACTCTTAAACCTAAAGAATCCCATGAAATTTCTAGTTTTTAAAGATCCAAGTAACAGCCTAACAGTACTTATTCGGCTCATCGTGTCTGGATTCTGGCCAAAGTCTAGTGGTGAAGGGCTGAAAAGTCTTACCTCACAATGAGTCGTGCACACTGAGAGCTTCTTAAGAGAAAGCAAAGTTATTCTAAATAACTATTAGCTTAAAACTTGGACTTAGCTAGTTTCAGTAACAGGTGCTTCCAAGCTTCTGATCTGAACATGGACGCTTTAGAGTTGATATTGATAACAACATCAACAACTTGATGACGACTGGCACAATTCACATTTGCCAATTTTCTAGTTGCGCCAGTTCTAAATAATGCGGGATTTGAAGAAAGACCTGCATCTATACTTTCTATACTGTATCCTCTACAATATAAAATTAAAATAATTAATATAACTTACCTTATTATCTTTTTATCCTTGCTTCATCATCTAAAGAAAGTTGGTCTGACTGTACCCAAACGCATATCACAGTATCTAACCCGTTATTTAATTATTTATTAATAATAAATGATAATCATTCACTCCCGGGTGCTCCGTGTGCGAGATAGATCCGTACGCTCTACCGCTCTCCGTGCTGCTATTGGCTGAGCGTCATTCTGTGACGTCACGCGTACGGATATTTTAAGTTATTTGCAAAGCAAATAACTTTTTACAGGGAAACTTTTGAAAGTTCTAATTGCAAAAAGGCACAATGGGAATCCATTACGCGTCGATTCATATATGGTGTTAAAGGGTTTTGTTGAGCCGTTAAAGAGCTTTGCCCGCTTAACTGAACATTTTGGCCCAAAAAATGCGTTATTAAATTGATTTTTGTATTTATACACTCTGACGAGGCCAGTATTTTACGTGTACATCTGACGCCTTCAATATTACGTGATACATCTAATCATACTCTTAGCTCTGTATTGTTGCTTGTCTGTCGGTTTTAAGGTTTTTTTTCTTTATTGCCGTCCGCGCCTCTATCGAGCGCTATAATACGAGCACTCCGTCTTTATGTCTTTGGTTAATGTTCAACTAACCGCCGTTGGCATCAGTAGAAATTCAACCGACACCACTTACCTAGTGTTTAATTGACGCTCATTGATTCTCAACTGATGCCAGTTAACTCACAACCGCTGGCAGTTGGTTCTCACTGAGGTCAATTGGACGTATCTCTGTCAAACGGAACTAAGCGCCATAGGGGAGGAAGGTAGAGGGGGGCTTGGATTGGCGGCGGAACCGGGCGTTGGACTCATTCCGTCCTATACTCACAATGCTTTTCCATGACGCTTAGTTCCGTTTGACAGAATGCGCTATCCGGCATTCTAAATTCCTCAAAAGGAACTCAAATTGGCGCTTAGTTCCGTTTGACACAGATACGTCCAATTGACGGTCAATTGACTCAGCTGATCCGATGTTGCATCTCTCGAGGTTTAACTGACATTGTTGAGTGCATCTCTTGAACAATTGGCGTGCAGGGGAGAGAGACCTCGCAAGGTGTTTCCATTAATAAAACTTAATTTCATTTTATTTTATTTTTATACATCATATTTGCTTTAAAATTGTAAGTTTATTTTATTAATTTTATTTAATCGAATTTTTGGCAGTGGCAGTTTTTTCTTGTTAAGTCAACATTATTTATTGTATTTATTTCGTTACTTTTAGATTTTCTTCGTGATTTCATTCATGGGGACGCATCTATTTTTAGTGTTATTTCTTGCAATATTTGTTTTTCGTAAGTTTCAATTTTAATTCTATTTTTGTTCTACTTTATTTTATTTATTGCATTTTATTTATTTATTTATTGCATTTTATTTATTTATTTATTTAATTTATTTTATCCATTCATACAAAACTTTTTATTATAATTTATTTATTTTACTTTTAAGATGTTTCATTCTATATTTTTAATTTACTAAGGTATATTATCTTACTAATGTATTTTAAGATATTTTAGTTGATTCATTTATTTATAGATACTTTACGTTATTTATCTATGTTACATTATGTTACCCACTAAGTTTATTTATTTCACAACATTTCATTATATTTATTTAGTTTACGGTATTGCTGCATTTTGTTTTATCATATTTAGGTACCATATTCCTTCATATTACGGTGTTTTTTTTTTATTTTTATATTCATCACTTTAAAAATTTCAAGTTTATCTTAATTTTATCTTATGTATTTAAAACAATTCTACGTTTTAAATTTTACGAATTTCAAGATATTTTATGTTATTTGATTTAGTTTGAGATATTTTTCTTTTTGCTAACTAAAGCGAAGTCTTAAAAAAGCACCCTTGTATGTTAAGCACAACCATTTTTAATTTTTTTTTTAAATAAATGAGCAATTAGGTTGTGTGACCACAAATTCCGCAACTGCTTGTCTCTATTGACAAGACTCTCTTTTGGGGACTAAGATTTTCTATACTGGAATGTCTTCAATTTCAATATCATTTTGATGCACTGCGGTTAAGTAAGTGCGTAAAGATGACGATGCCACACTGATGAGTGTAATCTGTAAGCGATGAATACCAAAGTGAAAAGTTCGATGCTGCTTAAATTCATCACATACTTATCGTAACAGAATTACCATCGCAATTTTTCTCTCAGGGAACCCACTCTTTCTTTTTCCAATCACTTTACTGAGCTTAAATAATCTTAGGATTTTTTTATTATTTTCATTATGAAAAGAAGAAAAAAAAGAAAAAAATACACGATCATAAACTCTTGTTACAGTTAAAATGATGTGTTTCAGAACCCCTGGCATACCGACTTTCAGAACAGTAGGCAACCAAATTTCCTCTCTTACCAACAGTCTCTGGAGATTTCGTTCTTATCATGTAACGGATTTTTCCTCGATAAACTTGATCACGGAGTTTGGACCTCGGGGAACGAATGTAATATTAGACCTTTTCTCAGGAAATGAGTCTGCAAAAATCGTCAATTACGCATTACTAAATATTTTGTGACAATCTCTGATACCACAAAACCTGAAATAACAGCAATAAAATTCGAAAATTACTGTTTCGTTGCAATATTTTTGTTGGAACATCTTAAGCTTCAAAAATTATTCGATCAATACCTAATCGGGAATTTCTTTTTTTCAAGAGGATAATTTGTACTTAAACTAAAATGAATTATTGTTAGGTTGGTTAATAGGTATTTATACTTTTTAAATCGAAATCATAGTAATAACATCTAAGATTTGGCTAAAATTTTTAGAAATTCTAGTGAGTGGACAATCAGTATCATGAGGTACCTGACTCACATTTTTCAAAAATCGAGTTAGTGTCGTTTTGGCAATCTAGAATAACGGCTTCGTATGTGTAAAACATTTGGTAGCCCTATCGTATGGCAGTTATGAGACACAGAAGTTCAAAATTCATTTACATTGAAATCAAGGGGGCTGAAGCAAGTATTTTCCCTGAAATATCGGAATGACTAATATGGAGTTCGATATCTTTTGACTATGGGTTAGTGATATATTGTTAAAACCAAGAATCATCCTCTCACCACACATGTGATTTGACACTTAAATTTCTCTAGCATTTATTATATTATCAAAAATTGGTTATTCAAAAAAAAAAAAAAAAAAAAAAACGTGAGGAATACCTAGGACTCTAACTGGACTGCATTTTGCAATTTGGAACTATAAATTTTGTCTCATCTGAAAAAACACTTACGTGCATAGGGAAACTAATGGCACTTAGGTACGGTGTTTTTAAACCGGACTAGAATTTATAGTTCCTAATTGCAAAATGCAGTCCAACTAGCTTCCCCAAACTTAGCTAGTTTGGGGATATGTATTCTTTCCCGTTCAGAAGCGGGCGGTTGATTCTAGATGCGTTCGCATCTCCAACCTGCCTGTTAATCATTTTTTTCGGGGTTTTCTCGCTTTGTTATGAGAGTTGTTCAGCAGCGATGGTAAATTGCGTAAGGATCACACTTTTTTGTCATGGCTCGGGTTATGCTCATGGCGGCTTTTTGATGCCGTCTTGGATTTTGCGGGATGCTGTTGGATTCACTGGCGAGTGTGATCTACTGATGAGGTCTAAAAAGACCCAAAACGTTATAGATCTCTCTGCGCGACCTCAACATAATAATCCCGATGGGACACTGTACCTAATTGAAATTTTTTTGGGAGCTTCTTGGCTTTGTTTTTCCCACGAGATAGTGTGGACCCAGCACCATTTATGCACCTTGTTGCGAATAATATAGTCAGGGAGAAATACGATTTGACCCGGAACAAATTGCTTAACAAACTTTTCCTCCGTAAACGTCATCAGTAGGTCCTCCTGAACAACATACCAAAAGTTTACCACGGTCCGACCCCGGAACACCCCCCAAAATGCCTAAATTTCAAAATGGCGGCCATAATAAGGCCTCTGGGATTTCGGTTTTTTAAAATGCGCATATAGTGTCATGTGAGGTATCAATCCCTATGTAATTTTGGTCGTAGAACTCAGATAAGGGGTCAAAAAAGTCCCCCGGTCAAAAAGGGTGCCCCAAATCCAAGATGGCGGCCAATTTTGAAAGGCAGGCGGGTGAATTTTTAAAATGCGCATATAGGTTCATGTGAGGTATCATTCCCTATGTAATTTTGGTCGTAAATTTCATTTATGGAGTCATAAAAGCCCTCCGGTCGAAGGGGGTGCTCCAAATTTCAAGATGGCGGCTAAATTTTAAAGACAGGAGGGTGGATTTTTAAAATGTTTGCGTGGCATGGCAAGTGAGGTATCATTTCTTATGTAATTTTGGTCGTAAATTTCGTTTATGAAGTCATAAAAGCCCTCCTGTCAAAGAGGGTGCCCCAAATCCACGATGGCGGCCAAATGTGAAAGCAGAAAGGTGAGCCAAAAAAACAACAATCAATTTAGAAGGCAGGTTGGCTATCAAATTCTATGTATTTATAGTCAAGGAGTCTGAATGAAATTTTAAAAATTAATTTTAAACGAAAATGAGACGTGACATGCATGATGGTGACGATCAAGGCTGTCCAGGGTATAAAAAGATGTGAACAGGAGCACCTACGAGTTATTTTTGTTAATTTTGAAGCACATACATTCCCAATTAAAATAAGGATATTAAAAGTGACCTACGATCTCTGGTCAATATGGGAGAAAATCTGAATCAGCACATGCTGATTCATAGTCTGAGTCAGGATCGTCAGGATCTTCCTCCTGGGTTGTCTCCACGTTAATGAAGTCTTCTTAATTTATGCGTAAGTCTGTGCAGCATAAGTTCATTTTCTGAAATTTTCACTTTCATACTGCATGGTGTACCGCACCTTTTTTTAGTGTATTTTCCGAAGGAAATTTTACAAATATACCGAATAATTTTACGCCTTGATTTCGAACTGGAGGCAAGTTGCTTGTAATAGGAT